TCACTGCAATTGCCTGCGGTCATGCATGTGGGGTGCTAGTCATTTGGCACATGCGTTACAAGCGTTAATTTTTTTAACAACATTAATGAAAAAAATCAATTAACATGCTCTAGTGAAGAAGCTAATATTTCCAAAAATTATTCAATCTGAGACCAAGACAGACACATTAATGCATGAAAAAAATGTATTTGTTTGGCGCATTGAGTCCAGCAGTGACACTTGCAGAGTGGAGATAAATTGCTGCTGAAGATGATCTCAGATCCCCCGGGGTCAAGCATTGGTGGTGGCTAGAGAATGGAGTGAATGGGGCGTAGGCAGAGCAGCAGCCAGGGCAGGAACCAGAGCAGGAGTCTGGGCAGGAGCTTGAGGAGGTACTGGGGAGACGGTGGCTGTTAAGAGGTACAGGAAGCGCTGTTTTTCAGGAAGTGACTGCTTATAAAACGGCCCGCTTTGCTCTCAGTGGGTTGGCAAGAGCCTGGCTGGGCTGTGTGATTGGCAGAGGCTCGGGGCTGGCAGAGCTGTGTGATTGGTGGAGGCTCGAGAGGCTGGCCCTCAACGGGTGAGAGCTGTGGCACGGTCTTTCAGTCTGAATTTGCGCTTCCGCTTCATTAGTAATGGTTTCTATGATGTTAAATGGCTCAATATTTTTTTAGAAGTGTCTGTAATTTTAATAATTATGCATGTCTCATTGTGGTAGTAGGTTGTGTTTTAAAACTTTTTTTTAAACAATTGTCAGGTGCACTTTCCAAATCTCTGAAACTACCAAAAGACACAGCCAAGAGTGAAGTTGTCTGAGTTGTGAACGGTTTGCCAAAAAACACACACCATTTGCCCTCCACAGGCAGTTATGCCTCTCTAAGCTCGGGTCCTAGCACTGCAAATATCTGAGCCGAGATTTGCAAGGTTGTTCCAGGGATCCTCTGTAACCACTCCTCCAGCTTCGGGGTCACTGGCCCATTGCACCGAGCACCATGGGCACTACTGTCACCTTTACCTTCCAGGTCCTCTCCAGTTTGAGGGCCAACTTTGACTGTGTGTTTCAAAGTCACAATTCAGCCCACATTGTCTGCATGTAACCGCTCAAGGCTCAGGGCGAGAACAGTGCAAAGCTCTGTTCTCGCTTCTTGCCCACTTCTCACCAGGGTGCACTGGTTCCCCAGCACCTGACACAGACCTTGTTTGGCCGGGCAACGCCAGCATTGTTTATTTTTAACCTCATGGTATGACTTAGGCAGTAGCATTAAGGGTCTTTCCCTTTTTTTGCCCTCCGTCAGATTTGAACCCTGGCCTCCCAGGATCCAGTCCACCCCTCCAACGGAGCAGCCGGAAAAGCCCCCAACCAACATAATCCATTCACTCCCTCATTACATTTATACCTATTGTGTTTTTAGTGGTAGGGGAACCCGAAAGGCCCTGTCCTGACCGGGATTCAAACTCAAAAATCAATTTAGAAATATATTGACTTAGTAAGCATGTACTATTCTAACCCCATGAGACCTTATCAGACATTCAAACACCTATATACTTTTTTGTATACATTATTTTTTGTATTTTACATTTTAATTATTTCACCTCATCTCATATTACCTTGCATAGACACCCATCTGAGATAATTGCACACTCATCAATGGATAATACCATGATGCTAAAAGCCCTGGATTAGCACGCAACACCTGCTCCTCGTGGATTACCCTGCTAAAGCTTTGTGGCTGCATTATTCCACTGCACCACCTTTCCCTCTGTAGAAAGCTCTGATTTATGTTAAACACTACTAATTGACCACAACGTAGGCGGGTAGTTAGGGAGCTTAATTGGGATACTACATTGCATACTTGGCCCTAATGAGGTGGTCATATTAGAATGCCTTGTTTGTCCCTGAGGTGATTAACTTATCCTTAGAAGTGTAAATACGCTGCGATTAGACTTAATAGAAACAAACGGTCAACATATTAATAAGATGCTAATGCAAATAAACATGTGTGTCCATTGTTCACACAGCGCTGCAAAGGTCTGTGTTATTGTCAGTTGTTCGCATAGATGTTTAGTTTTAATCTACATACACATAGATATGTAGATAGATGCACTGTAGATTGATGGATAGGGCTTTTTCATGTCTGTTTCATGTCTATTCTTCTAATGCCTGAGATTTAAATTGTCGTAATTCTCAACCAAATACCTTTCTTTCTTTTTCTTTTTTCCATAGTGTGTTATTGTCGTTTGATTCATCTTATTCATATTACCCCTAACAATTGACCAATCATGTACCCTCTGGACACCAAACTAGACCAGCACCACTCACGGTTGGCTCCTTCGTTGCTAGGATGTTGCCATCCATTATTTTTGGCTTTAGTTTCATGCCCCTGGAGCCTGTTTGATTGAGCTCTGATTGGCTAATTCCATAATAAGGTAAACGCTATGGGAGATAGTCCATTCATTCTACAGCAGGCCTGTCAAATTTGGCCCGTGCGATCATTATTTGTGGCCTCTGAAACGACTTTCAATTATTATTATTATTAATAATGGTAATGGGATACTACAACATCTTATACATAATCTTAAATTTCATTTAATCAGTAAAACAACCATATAATTAAATTATTTCTCGCCTTACACATAATTAGAAGTTAAATAGAACAATGTTGTTTAATATTTAACTGTGAGACTTCTTATTTACAGTATATTAGGTCCTTTCTGGGTTCAATTCAAGCAGTAAAATATTTTTGTTCAGAAAAATCTACCAAAAAAGTGTATCCCAACACTTGTCAAATAATTGTAATATTTCAAATTGACTATGTATAAATATATAAGAAAGGAAAACCACTTTTATACTTATTTAATACAGACTCCAAATTGAAAAGACCAAATGTAAGATTTTTGGGGTTTTTTCAGCAGAAAACATAAATGTAGTTTAAGTTACTGTATATAATACCGAGGCATATTCAAAGCAAAGAAATACGAAGTATTGCATTGGATATTTTACAGGATACAATACATCCGCATTTTCTTCAGTGATTCAAATTGTCAAAAAAATGTCTCAAAATTGTTTGCATACAAAGTAAACAATGTTAACTACATTTCAAATTTGGTAAAAAATACAATTGACACCCAATATGACTGGATTTTCTATGTTTCTTTAGAGAAGGACTTTAGTTTCACGTCTTCCGTATTCTAAACAAAGGCATGGCTTTTTCTACCGTACACTCCCTACATTATTCAGACATCTTCCCCAGAATATTGGGGGACTTGTCAGGTTGTAATAATAATAGTGTCATTGCAGGATAGGTTTGTTTTGTTCCCGCTCTCTCAGGGAATCTCTGTGACTGTAGAGGACAGAGTTATGAGCGCGTGCTTCTCTGGGACGTCCCAGCAGATTGGAGTTAAAACAGTGCTATATGAAAAATAAGCAGGTTGTAAATTTCTCCATTGTGAGATCAATAAAGTTTATACTACATTATGAATGGTCCAATCGCAGTGTTGTTGTAAAAGCATAAAACTGTTTGTGTGATACTAGACTACATTTTTCACATCATATTATTTTCATGGTTATAGATTTGGATTAAGGCTAAAGCTTGTAACACAATATTCATGATATTTAGGCAGTAAACATCAGTGTTTTGAAATCAGTGGGCCGTGGCACTTTGGTATGTCTCCCAGAGCAGTCAATTTGACGACTAAGTTTTGAAAGCGTCTCTTAGCTTATGTACGTTTTTGGTCTTTTTAACCAAATATTTTTTTTCTGTATTTTTTTCTGTTTCACATTGTTGTTATTGTGAGCTATTGTTTTTGCTCAAGAGATGTCAAATTCTGCACTTTGAGCCTTATTTGGACCCCCTGAACATGCATCAAAAGGTGTAAAATTTTGCCCAAAAATCAGACCTGGCGAAAAATTTGATATTTTGGTGTTTATTTTTATGGGACTCAAAAATGCCAGAACAGCGCCACCTACAACAGCCAAAATAATACCCCTATGGGAGTTTTGGAGATCAAAATATTATTATGGCCCCGCCCTCTGACAAACAGGAAGCCCATAAATTTCATTGCAAAATGGAAAAATGAACAGCAATAGTTTTCATACATGTCGGTTGGAAAGCGACTCCTCCTCGGCCGTTTCACCGATTCGCCTCAAAATCGCTCCACATCATCTCAACACATGTACCTTCAAAATGACTTCGACGATTTTTGATCAGTGAAACGTTGTTTGAGCAGCAGAGCGGCAAAATGTGACCTTAACATTAAATATGCTCCCGTTTGCACACACAATGTCTGATTTGCACAAAACTTCAATACATTGTTCAACTCTAGGGTCTAGCTCATTTGAAAGTGAAATGATTCAAATTTACACATTAGCGCCCCCTACAGACTATTTCAAATTTTTATACGGGAATTTTTACATTACGTTTTTTCAAAATGTTATGCATATACATATATCTGTTTTGCCCTCTTGATTAAAAAAGTCAAAAGGGCCTAAGGCTTATTTTTTACCCTGTCGCTGTAGCGACGACAAACGCTCCCCATTCATTGTCTATGGCAATTGTACACTTCGCACAAACATCAAACCAGCCTCGGCCGTTCCACAGATTTGGCGAAAAAACACTCCACATCATCTCAACACATGTACCATCAAAATGACTTCAGGGAATTTTGATCAGTGAAACTTTGTTTGAGCAGCGGAGCGACAAAATGTGAAATTTTTCCCCATTTTGACAATAGAAACATACAGTGGCTCCCTTTTGCACAAACCAAGTCCGATTTGCACCAAATTTGAATCAGTTGTTCAACTTTTGGGTTTGGGTAAACTGAAAGTGTAAAACATTTTTTTTGCAGCATTAGCGCCCCCTACAGAGTGAGTG